GAGACCTGGAAGCGGACAGAGGCCGCCCCTGGGGGAAGGGGAGGGAAGCCTCCTGGGCCTCGCGTCCCAGCCCCGAGGGAAAGAGGAGAGGACGGTCTCGCCGTCTAAGAATAGGGCCGACCACGAGCACCGTGCAGCATGCGCGCAGCCAGAGGTCCGATGGGAACGTTGTATTTTGTAAAGGTACCTTTTTTTTTTTTTGATTGATTATGCATATGCATGGGTACAAAGCTGACCCTCCTGTGCCCAAGATGTCATGGTCAGATCAATACCATCAGCGTGCCCGTTGCCACAAATTGCAGTTATTCCCGTAGGTAAGGAACCTTTTCAAATCTATAGCTTTTAAAATTACAGCCTCCTATTTATTCTAGGATTAAACATTTCTGACAACACTGGTTAACTCTTCTTGCCCTTCCTTTAACGTGTGTGCGTGTGTGTGTGTGTGTGTGTGTGTGTGTGTGTAAACATCCGCCCTTTTGCTATTTACAGTTTGTTGAGAAAGTACCACGGGCCAACCCCGGGGGGCAGGTCTCCTATTACAGGTTCTCCTAATGGTTTAAGCGCCCCTGACAACAGAACTATTTGGTTTTCCCATCCGTGTTTACACTGTCATCTTAGTCTCTGCAGAGTCGAGCATTTGAGTGGATTTTTAGCTGGCTTCTTGGACACCACTTACTGGTAAACTACAGCTAAGAAAGGTTTTTAAAGCTTGGCTGGGAGGCGGAGGCCCCTGGTTGAGTATAAAAGCACACACATCGCGGACGTTTCCCTCCCTATTAGATGGTGGAGAAAAAACTCCTAAATGGTATGGCATGAAAACAAATTTTTTAAATTAGTAATGATTTTCCCCGGCTCTGCAGACAGGTTGGCGGGCAAACTTCAGCCAGCTTGGACGCTGGGCACCTTTCCATGCCCGGTTACACAATATCATCTCCCCGTTTGCCTGGGTCCCAGTGCCCTCCAAACAGGCACAGGAACTCAAGAACCCGTCTTTATTTGTCTCTCCCCTTGCATTTAAGGAGCTTAGTCTGCCCATTTGCAGCTCTGGCAACACTTCATTTAAAGTGATTTATCTTGCCAAATTGATAATCTCCTTTAAAATCAGCTTTCCCCAGCAATCCTAGCTGGTTATAGTTCATGTTTTTATAAAGAGGTCGATTCTGACTCAGTATGTTAAACGGTTGTACCATACACAGCTGAATAAAGTTCTGGTGGATATCCAATTCCTGACTGTCAACTGTTGACCTCGAAACTGCCTCCCCATTGATATCACCATCTGTTGTCATGGGAAAGATTGTCTGATATTTGGGTTAAATGCCACTGAAGTCATTCAATTTCCATGTGGAAAAATAACCCAAAGTAAATTGCCCTGTGAGGTACGGAAGCTATTTTTCCCAGAGATAGCCAGGCGAACGGAACGTCCAAATAAAAGCAGAACAAAAACACGATCCCCCAGAGAACGCCTTATGTGCTCATTCCCTCAGTGACTTTATTTCATGCATGAACTGTGTGCATGTGTGTGTGCGTGTGTGCATGTGTGTGCACGTGCGTGTGTGTGCCTGTGTGCGCGTGTGTGCATGTGCGTGCGTGTGTGTGTGCGTGTGGGCATGTGTGTGCGTGTGTGCCTGTATGTGTGCGTGTGTGTGCGTGTGTGCCTGTATGTGTGCGTGTGTGTGCGTGTGTGCCTGTATGTGTGCGTGTGTGTGCGTGTGTGCCTGTATGTGTGCGTGTGTGTGCGTGTGTGCCTGTATGTGTGCGTGTGTGTGCGTGTGTGCCTGTATGTGTGCGTGTGTGTGCGTGTGTGCCTGTATGTGTGCGTGTGTGTGCGTGTGTGCCTGTATGTGTGCGTGTGTGTGCGTGTGTGCCTGTATGTGTGCGTGTGTGTGCGTGTGTGCCTGTATGTGTGCGTGTGTGTGCGTGTGTGCCTGTATGTGTGCGTGTGTGTGCGTGTGTGCCTGTATGTGTGCGTGTGTGTGCGTGTGTGCCTGTATGTGTGCGTGTGTGTGCGCGTGTACGTGTGCGTGTGTGTGCATGTGTGTGTGTGCGTCTGCGTGTGCATGTGTGTGCGTCTGCGTGTGCATGTGTGTGTGCTGTAAAACAGACCCTGGCTCAGGTGTCCCAAGGCTGCTCGCTGGGGCTGCAGGAGAGGGGAGTGGTGCCCGGGGCTGTGGGTTTCGGCTCCCGGTCACCCCAGCCGTCCTCGGCGCACCCAGCGCCTCCGCTCAGTCGCGGGCTCCCCGGGCGCCCGCCGCCCGCCGCCCGCTGCGTCCTGCGAGCCCGGCCCGGGCACGGCTCCCAAAAGGCGCGCCACGACCCCTTTTGACACTTTCCCTCCTCTGTGATGGAGCAACTGATTAACATGCAAAGTTTTCTCCAGCCTGCCCGGCTCGCTCGCTCCGAGTCATTTCAGTAGCTGAACTGGCTTCTTTCCGAAAAGGCTGCCAAGGGACACAGAGTCTTGGGGACGCATCTCGCTCCCTTCTAACACGGACGCAGACCCGGGCGGCTCCTCTCCTGCGGGCTCTGACCCCTTCCTCGTTCCTGCATCGCGCCCTCTCTCCGTTCCCCCCCAGATCCCAGCTCCTCTCCCCGGGCTCTGCATTTCTCCATCTTACCTTTTCTCTCCGCCACTGGGGCTTCGGGGGATGACCCGACGATCAAGCAGAGAAGCCAGAAAGCTCTAGCTGTCATTTTGGTAGACAGCGTTCCCAGGCTCTCAAACTCAGCCTGGGCTCAGCCTGCGCTCTCTCCCCCCACCCCTTCTCCACACCCCCACCTCTGATCGGCAACTTACCAGCCAGCAAGAAGACAAATGTTAATTAATCCAACTCAATTCATTGTCACTTAGTAATATCCACCACTGGTTGCAGAGTAGCCACATTTGGGCCTATCTAGTTGGCCTTTCCTGGATTCAGTTGCAATTTTGCCATGTACAAAGAGTAACATTAAATTTCACCCCAAGATTTTCATTTCATCTAATGAAGCTTGGCCTCATTTGGATATGATTATATCATTCCCAAGGCATGTAATGATAAGCATGTCTGATAAGGAACTGGATGATGCAAAATGGCACCGAGGAGTAGACTCTAATTCTCTCATGTCCAGGCTTTGAAAAGGGAAATAAGTCAGAAGAAGATTTTCAAAAGGAGTGCAGCCAATTCAGCTTCCTTAACCCAGACATTCAGTACCAGGGGGAAATCGTCTTTCTGCTGATCAGCTTGTGCCCCAGGCTTAAGAGCTTTTAAATATTTTAGCACTCCACTTTTGGCTTCCAACCCTGCAGATTTTTAATAGAAGGCTGATGTACACAATTAATTAGCACAGGCACACAGGCCTGAAAGGGACTCGGACTAGCTTGAAAGAAAAGCAGCTGAAAGCAAGTAAAACAGTCGAAAACTCAACTCTGCTCTGACCACTACATTTTCATTCCCCGGGCCTTTGATGCTTGAGGAAGGATATACCTGCTTCCTTTTTCTTTCTTTTTCTCTTATTCTTTCCTTCCTCCCTGTTTCTCTCTCTCTCTCTCTCTCTGTTCTCTCTCTCTCTTTCTCTCTCTCTCCCTCTCTCTCTCTTTCTCTCTCCCTCTCTCTCTCTCTCTGTCCTCTCTCTCTCTTTCTCTATCCTCTCTCTCTCTTTCTCTCTCTCTTTCCTCTCTCCGTCTCTCCCTCTCTCTCTCTCTCTCTCTCTCTCTCTCTCTCTCTCTCTCTCTCTCTCTCTCTCGGCTCATCTTGAAAAATGTAGACACCCCCCCCCAAGAAAAGTCAACTCATTCACTGCTTAGATCTGAATTCTTGACATGGCACAGTATTTGGTCCTGAGCTAAGGACACTTGCCCTTGGATTGAACAGAAACAGCATTCACCAAAGGGGGAAATCCATTTACCAGGGTGAGTCCACAACCTTAGT